CACACGAAAGTGCATGGTTAATGGTTGTAAAAACTGAACTGAACTGGTGTTTGTTCTGCCTGTCTCTCTTTATTAAAATAAATCAATGGGATTAAATAATATGAGAAAAATAAATATCATTGACCAAACGAATATCAGCCAATCACCATTTTCGTTCTTCGATTCACACTTCTATTTGAACTCTATAGCTGCTGACTGATCGATTCTGTTGGTCCATGGCCCGATATCCCGAAACTGGAACTCGTAGGCGCTTGGATGGCATCTACTTGGGGAGTTGAATTACCACAATAATGCTGCTTTCGCCTTTTCCCTTGGATTTCAAACGCATTCTGTACAAGCGAGCGGTGGTTTTGTGCACAAATTAGATTGTTTCTTCGTCTCGACAATCAGACGGTGAGAACCGAGACATCTTTGATCTATTGACAACTTTTTCTTGCTCTCAACCTTATCCTCATTGTTCTCTCCCTTTTATTGGACCAGTTTGGTTGGTGAAACGACGTGAGAAGTCGTCTTTTCCTTTTTTCGGTTACCTCACTGCTTCAGTGAGTTTGATTTCGAACTCCAGAATGTGCGCTTGCTCTACGGCACCACCTTGTTTGTGAGTTTTCTGTAGTGATTCCGGTTATTGATAATCCTGTTGATGTTGATAGATTTTTCTTTCAAATTCGAAGTATGTTTGCAAGCATATGGCGATAAGCTTGCAGATATCAGCTGATTCCGTTGGGTAGATGTGGGTCAATTTCAAAACTCTTGCAATGTGGATTTAAACTGGTCGACGTGAACATTGTGGGATTTCATTTTCTTGCTCAAGAACTGCTGTGGGTTGACCATACTGTGTGTGCTCTTATCCTACCATGAACGGATCCACTCGTTTTCACAAATCTTTTTCTGGCTTGAACACAGCACATTTAGGGGATAATTGGCCAAAATTAGTGAATAAGAATGCGCATTATGTGAACGGACAGCAGTGTACTATAAATACCGAAGATGTCACCTCGACTGGTGATAAATGGTTTTGAACCGAGTTACCCGACTCGAAGTTTATCTGCTTCTGTGCTATCGATTATACCCTCACTCTCTCCCCCACCCCCAATCCCTCGACAATTAGTCAGCATCTCCAAACACATTTTTTGAATATTCAATCTGCAAGAATCACAGAACGGAGTCACAAAGCCGAAACTGTACTGTGAAGTCTTGAGAACATTTGTGTACCGAAAATCTAGTTAATGGTCTAGGTGTATTGAAAACACATTTGATATGAAGAAAAAACCATTTGTTATTTTTTATTCTCAGACACGCCTGAGTTCAGACTGTATGCTATACAAATCATGGTACAATAATCGATTACACTGGGTTCATTTAGATGAGAAACCTAGGTTCATAGACCATATGAAAAACGTTCGACAACAGATCACATAGTGAGACAT